CTCGGCCCAATGGAAAAAAATATTTAGCGTGGGCAAATAAATCCCCCCGACCGACCGACACGGGCCCCACTACCCCATCCTCTTCATTATCACAACTAATATTTACTTACAAACATTATTATAATTTTTGTTAATTTCTTTTTTGGGGTGGGACATTATAGTTGTTTAGTCATTCCCCATGAACAAAATCACCCCTCCAGAAAATCGAATGTTCCCAAGTTTTCGTGCAGCCATTTTTCAAGTGGGAAACGTTGACGTTTTGGCACTTAAGAACATTGTTGAAGTGTACGGTTTAGCCACTTTCCTCTGAGATGGAAGCCAAAGATCCAAGGAGTTGTTCCTGCCATCAATGTACACAACCTCACTCTGGGGAGGTGCAAACAATGTATTACTTTAGAGGAAACTGTGGGGTCATTTTTAATGTTAATGAGTTTGCGGGAGTTCCTCCTTGAATTAGTGGACTGCACTTTCTACTACTTCCACATAATTGCTGCGCCATTTTCTAAACTATGGATTGAATTCAAGTCCATCACGGTCCCTGATCAAAAGGAATACTTTCCAATTGTTAAATAATATCAAAAAAATTGTATTAAGTTGCATGAATACTTTGTTTAAGTTTCCCACTTTGAAAAACACATCCACTTGGGTAAGGGTCTTCAAACAACACAAGTTCCATCTTGATTCAAATTCCACTCTGTGCGGTGCTGTCGCTCACTCGAGTTAGCTTCACCACAGATGCATAACTGAAAGCCTAAATCTCAGCAGAAAAGGAAATTGCTGTCAACAGGAAGGAGTTGTCAAAGAGATTTGCGATCCCATTACGCCAGTTTAGAGTCAGGTAAGCATACTTTCGCCTCGTTTTATTTCAAATGAATATTTGGCTTTTGAAGCTGAGACTTTTTACAGTAGGTTTAGTTGAAGCGGGGAACAGTTTGCCTCGAGGGCTTCGAGTTCTGATTGCACTGCAGTTGCGCGTACACGTAGATTGCTGTTAACCAGTTCTGGTATTAAAAGGTTTTTCAAAAGTTACCGGTTGTTCAGCACACCTACCCCAACGATCTATGGATCGTTGGGGTAAGTGGGGTTGGGGTAGTCACTCACATGTGACTGAGGCCAGGTTTTTCAATTTAGTAAAATCCTCCCACGACTGTAGGAGTCTGTAAGGTTTATAATTGTATAAAGGTGGTTGCATCAAGTTTTGGTTTACGACTTTTTCAATCCTCCCATCCTTATGGGTGTACAGCTGACTATCTATGTTGAATGCCCATGTTGACTAAAATCAGAGGCCACCGCAAACACATTCTTGGCACAACAATGTCTTACGGCCAATGTAAGACAGAAACGAGTTTATAGCCACAAGGAAATGAAACCACTTCTTGACACACTTTATTTTGCACAGAAAATCACTAAGCACAGTTTATACATGTACCTCTGAACAATGCTTTTCACTTCTGGTAAAAATTTGGGTACCTGTTCCTATAAAAGAAGGGTGACGACAATGTGACACTTACATGCATAGCATGTAAAACAGTATCAAAGAAAATGCTGATTGGAACTACATGTAGTTTACAAAAATAAGGATAAAGAATCTAGAAAAATCTTACATTTATGGTCTTAAAGTGCGAGAGCTTGGCAGGCAATGACAACGAAGAATGTTGAACTGTACAGATGGCAAAAAAACCCAACTCAGTTCTTGATGCAAACATGAGCTGCAACGGGGACAAAGACCATGTCGTATAAGAATGACCAGGCTCGAGACCAAATGGCACATATATGGGACTTGATGATCCAATACTCAGTTCACAGACTTTCTCCTCTGGAACCAAATTCAGCTCTGCACAAGTTTCACTTTGGACTAACATTTCTTACAAGTGTTGCTCCACAGAAAACTCACCACCACAGGTTGAAATGGTGCCAATACAAGTTAAAGACTTCTCACAACCTGCATAGAATTGCCTTCCAAAAACTTTCATGGTTTGTATGTGTGTCTCTCAATCTCGCTCCCAGTCTGCCATATCTCATCTATTGTAGTCTACAACTTTTTGAGAAATTTCTCCTCTTTACATAAGTTCCTTAAACGGTGATGTACAGTTACATGTAATGCACTTAGCTTGGCCACCTGTGAAGTACAGTGTATATACCTGGTACAGTGTACAGAGACTGCACAACATGTTGGTCAAGTGGTTTGACCTTTTTAGAGGTCACGAGAGGGATGGAATTAAGTTTCAATCTTACAACTGACTGTCTTTGCTGTGTGACCGACAGGACTTAAGACGTATTTCCTCTATGCTTCTGAAAATGGTCGGGTTTGGCAAATTATCCAGCTGTGTGATGCACACAAAGTGTTCAGTAAGGCGTGTTGCCTGTCAGGTGGAAACCCTCAAAAGCTACAGTATACACCACCTCACAATAGCCCTGATGGGAAACTTTGAGAAAAGTTGAAATTTTACATGTAGATGTGTATGTATGTTAATCACCAGGGCTCAATTTCATAGCGCCGCTTAACAGCCAATTTTGTGTTTAAAAGGGGCACTTAACAATCTTGTCATTTCATAGCAATCTTTAAGCACGTTTTTCCGCTTAAAGCAATAAGCGAACAAAAATCAGCCTTAACGTCCGCATTTTGTATTTAAGCAAGACTTCCAATCAAAATGGCCGCATTACTTGGGAGTAGTCTTGCTCCTGAGAATTTGCAAAGAAATTGTCCAATTCAGAGAGAGAGGCGGGTGTTTCGCAATAGACAAAATCCACTCGAACTGTTCACACCTCTTCAAATTTCGGCACAATACAGATTTCACCTTGCCATGATTGTGAGACTAGCGGAAGTGCTTTCGGGTGAGTTGGAACATCCAAATGAGAGCAATCATGCCCTGCCACCCCTGCTTCAAGTATGCCTTGCATTGCGATATTTGTCATCGGGTACTTTCAGCATAGTTTTGGAGACACTTGCCCCATGGTCAGCCCCCTAACGGCAAGGCAAGCAATCGACCGCACCGTCAAGGCAATCAATCGAGTTCTTGGCCATCGAATTCAGTTTCCAGATCCAAAAAGATCAACTCACCTTGATGGCCATAAAGCAAGGGTTTTTCAGAGTGGCCGGTAAGACAGTATCAATAATTTTTTTGAATGAGCAATTCACTTATTAAATGCAGTTCCTCAGTTTCAATGAGAAATGATAACCAATTATTTTGAGGAGAACATTAAGAGTCCAAATGATGTATTTTTTATCAAAGGTTTGGAGAAGGTCTTTAAAGTACAATAGTCCAACAGTTATTTCGGGACTTTTATTCCGCCGAAAATCCTTTGTGAGGAGTAACATTACAAATAAGGGGGTGCAAACGGTTTCTTCTGAGGAATGAATTTTTACAATTTAAGAGCCTTCTATGGGAAAATAAGACAATACCCTCTGACTGCTTATGAAAAGAGCGATTTGAAGTCAAACGGAAATTGTATAAAATTATTTTTATTTTCAGACCAAAGTAAACCATACTTGAACATAAAAATTCAAACTTGATATAAATATGAACAACAAATATATTTTCTTGGCCAAGCTCAAGTTTAAATACACACTGAATTTTGATATAAACACATGTATTAAAAAGTTGACACTCTTTGAATGAATTTATTTACGACACATATAAAGAAATCAATTTTTTAAATTCATCTCACTAAATATAGATTTTGATAACAAAATATGGTCTTTATGCTGCTTGCTTTGTTCCAGGATTCCCTAATGTATTAGGTGCAGTAGACTGCACACACGTTTGTGTTTAACCCCAATCGGAGACCAGAAATGACTTTGTGAACAGACAGGATACACATCCCTAAACTGTCACGTAATACATCCTTTCCAAGTACTTTTCAAACATTAAAGTAAAATATTTACAAATTTATGACCATGTTATGTAAATGTCATGAATATTGAATATTTCAAATATAACTTGCACCAGAATGTCCCATGATTTTGAACAGGTCTTAACATTTTGTTGACTGCTCAGATGGTGTGTGACCACTATAAGAGATTTTTGAATGCAGTGTTCAAATTCCCTGGTGCTGCCCATGATAGTAAAATTTGGCGAGAAAGTGCCCTTGGCATTGCTATGGAGGCTAGTAAGTCATTCATAAATAATATCAGACTAAATTTGAAAAGATCCTCACGTTCAACTGCCCAATGCATGTCTACGACAGCAAACGCAAAGCATATTATTAAAGTTCATGATTTTGGACGAATGATGGAAGGAGATAATAGCACCTACAATTGAGCAATGGAGCCTAACTCTACATTGGCATTTTAGACAGATTTCCAAACTGTCTGATATTGGGAGATTCTGCTTACTACCAAAGAATTTTCCTCATGACTCCATACCCCAATCCACACACACCGGAAGAACCTGTCTACAATACCGTGCATGCAGTAACAAGGTACATGTAATACAGTCCTGAAGAAATGTACTGTCTTCATTAATCTGTTAGGGGTACTGCAGACACAATAGAAAGTTGCTTTTTAGTCTGAGTAAATCTTTAAGGTTTACTCAAAATTTTATAGCAAATTCAAACAGTGCCCTCCTACTGTGTCTACCACACTTCAAAAGGCTGATTTTCTTGTAGTTTAAATCCAAGGTTTCATATCCTAATATTTCCAAGTTGTTAATGATGGCTCATGGGAAATCATCATACAGAGAGAGATGGAATTGCTACCATCAATAGATAAAACTGGTATTATTACGATTACAAACTTAAATAAACATGAAATTATGTATGTGTAAAAAGTTAATTGTTTCACTGGTAATGCCTTATGAGCTTTTAAAGTTGATAGCAATGATAATTTGTAATGAAAATGCAACTGTCTACATTGTCATTCCACCAAGTTGAGAAACTTGTTTGTGACACTTGAATATATTTTAAAACATACATTCGCAGGTCGTATATTGAGCAGACTTTTGGAATTGCAAAGAGGAGGTTTGCCCTGATGAAGACAGATACTAGGGTTTGTTCCATGCGAAAGGCAGCTAGTGAAATTCTGGTATGCTGTGTTCTCTACAATTATGGAATTGATGAAGGTAATTTATTCATATTTCCTGACTACATTTGAGACATTTCCGTTTTCTCTGTGATATGCATCATGGCACTACCAATAATAACCAGAGGGGGGTGGTAACAAGTTTGATGTAAACACATTTCAGCCACCCATCGTCAATGTTTGATTTTTCTAAGTGTTGAAAGTGCACTGTTTAAACATTCGAGAATGGTTCGTACTTTCTTGGACAGCTCGGTGTACTGTTGCTTTGATGACCTTGAAGAAAGAGATATCAAGTTCAACGATTTTGCTATTTAAATTGGGAATACGAAAATTCTTTGATAATATGGAAATATCAACAAAATTGTAGCTTGAAGACTAGTAATATAATTATATAAAAAGTACATTCATATGTATTAGGAAGTAAACCACTGACATGCACAAGTACTCGTGGTTGCCATATATGTGCAGTACATATAATGAGATATTATGTGCTTGGCCAGTCTTGACAAACACCAGCCTCAATTCGTTGTCAGGCAACGGGAAAAACTAAATGCCTGTTTATTGTGGCACATCATGCAGTCTTTTTATGATGTGATTGAAGGTGACTTGATGCCTGAGGAGGATGCCAATGCCATGGACAACCAAGATAGCAACCTCCAGCTGGATAAAAGAGGGCAAGGAACAGACACAGCTCTTGGACAAGCCGTGTGGGACCGCATGGCGGTGTCCATCCACCGACAAAGACACCACAGGCAACTGCATATAGATGCATAATGGAAATGGTACTGCAATTTGATGTTTTAACCCTAACAGTCCCAAATCCTCCAATTACAATGTGTGTGTATATGTAAATATACCCTATGGGGTTAAGGTTAAGGCAATGCTATTTAATTCATGGTCCAAATAACCCTTTAAGAGTATTCATAAACGCCTCCGACAATTCTCCTGAGCCGGTCTTAAATGCACATTTAAGACCGGCCAAGCACATATTTATTCCCTTACATATATAAACTTTCAAGAATATCAGAAATAACAGGTTGACATCAATGTAACGTCATTTAAAATTCAACTCAAGTGATAATAACACAAGCAAGAGGAACAAGAGGACAAGGGAGAGGAAGAGGAGGAGAAAGAGGAAGGGAGGAGAAAGAGGAAGAAGAGGAGAAAGAGGAAGGGAGGAGAAAGAGGAAGAAGAGGAGAAAGAGGAAGGGAGGAGAAAGAGGAAGAAGAAGAGAAAGAGGAAGGGAGGAGAAAGAGGAAGGGAAGAGAAAGAGGAAGAAGAGGAGAAAGAGGAAGGGAGGAGAAAGAGGAAGAAGAGGAGAAAGAGCAAAAAGAGACAGATTAATTAAAAATCACATGATGACGTCATCATAACGTCATCTCAAATTTAATGAACATACTATTATTATTTAATTATTTGGAATGTCTCCAAAAAAACGACTCTGTTCTGGAAATGACATAAAAAGAAACAACTAACAGTTTGAAAGCAGACTTCTGTCAGGTTGGCCCTGTACCAGTAGGCCCTGGAATTATCTTCAAAACAAAAATTCAATCACCTCCAGAAAACCATAGGTCTTATAAAGAAAACTAAAAGCAAGAAACTGTTTAGTCGAAGCCAATTCTTTCAAAATTGCTTCAAAACGCAATTCAAGTATTAACCAAAACAACATCACAACATTCCAAAGTTGACAGATTTAATCTAAATCATATAATCTTTTCACTGTTCTGGCATTTCTCCATATCTATGTAATAAAATACAGTTAAAAGATAATCTGAATTCCCCGTCTCTAGACTCCTCATGCTTGGATTCTCAATCATATCTTCTTATTCTACCGGGTAACTTTACTAATTTTACTACATACCTCATTATGTACGTGTTACATATAGACAGGTACATATACCTTAAAATATTGTATATGTACCATAGTTCTGGTCGAGTGAAATGCAAGTTGTGCTTTGGAAATGATTGGAATACACAAATATTTATTCATTTTTTACGCAGTCACCGGTTCTGTTAAATGTAGCATTAATGGCAGTTACATAATCAAAACCATTGATCTCCATTTTATAGACTGGATAGAACATCGCGTTCAAAATGCGTCCTGCGTATGCATATGTTCATGAGGGTAAATAACAAGCGTTGCGAATTTCCTCGCGTGTACTTTCAAATGGAATTTTCAAAAACCGGTCGAGATTTTTGTGCTTCAATTGTCAGATTTCAAAGAAAAACTGAATTCTGCACTTGGAATGGATAAATTTGGAAAGAAGTGTACGCAGAAGTGAATTACCTGAGATCAACGTCAAGTTTGGAAAGAAGAAAGAGAAGGAAGGAAATGTGGGTCGCCGTTGTTTTAGTTTCAGAAAGTTTCTCAAGTTGTACTTTATAATGTTTATAGACTTTTTTTCTAGGATGACAGCCTATCTAGCCTATCAGGCTTTGTATATGAAACTTCACTACCTCGAAGTTGGGACTAACTGAAATGTTACTAATTGGTAAAAGTGGTGCAAAAGTGGTTTCAAAAATCTGAGCGGGCAGAGATGAAGCCAAAGTGAGAAGCAGAGTGCTTCTTACAAATAAGGGTATTCAAAGTCAACAACGCAATGAAAGAAGTTTTCAGCTGATTAATAAGTGTCTGTTTTAAAAACAGCAGTAAGCTTGGTGACTCATTTAAAAAGTGGCGCCCACTTTGTGCACACAGAAAAGATTCTCACACATATGCCACATGTCGGTTTTCAATAAGCTTTACTCAATATGTGAATGAATTTTAATCAGTACAATTTTTCCTGAGAGTGTGTACAATTAAAATCATTTTATTGATGAATTTTTTTTTGAGTGTTGGCTCGTCGAAACCAGACGGGAAAACACTTAGACAGTTTGGACAATATTTGGGCATGTCCTGGTGAAATTCTCAAGTTTTACATAATGAACAAATCATGGTTGAACCGACCCAAAGTGCTTAAGTGAGACCGTAGACAATAGGTGTAAAAAATGAATTAAAACAAACACGCACAAAAACAGGTTAATATTATCGCTTTCGAGTGAATAAGTTATTAAGAAAATGGTCAGTTATTTCTGCAAATGATGTTCTTGCATTTTCTGTTTATTTTTGCCTTGTTCTCGGGGGCTTAGCCATCATCCCCTGAGAAAAAGGTTACGTTGACCAGAAATGCACAACATACAGCATCACATTACCCTCCAGAAGCGCCTGCCCATTGTTCGGCCAAGCATTTTGTGCACAAACTATGCGCGATGTCCTTTCTAGTCTATATAATGGAGATCAATGATCACAACTGAATTATATGTATGTATATACTTGTATGTAGGCTGTACTCCCTTCCCTACATACATCATACAGCAATGGGGGAAAAATATGCTGAGGCCTCAGTCTTGTGGTCGTAGTATCAAATTAGCTTTTAACTGTGCTCACTCCTCATGCCTGAAATTAAAATCTGTACTAGTTTTAATTATAACAAAGTTGTGCATGAGTTGGCAAATTTGTCGGGTGGACTTTTACGTGATGTAAAAATAACCGAAGTTTTTGTATGGATGGCTTTGTGGAGATTCTTCCCGCTAGTTATAACTTATTAGAATATAAAAGCGAGCGCTGTCTTAGTCGCAGTCAGACATTTTGTCAACCAGATAAGGAACTACAACCTCATTTTTGATGGGTAATTTGATTCCAACTGTCAATTTTTTTTCAGCCAGACAAAAAAATATTCAACATTTGACGAAATAGTAAGCTGTGGCTCCCTCAGCTTTAGCTAAGAACATGGGGGACACTGTCCAAAATCAGAGGTTCTAAATAATCAGTCACCAAATAAAGAACATAAATGTAGATGTTGATATTGTAGAGCGCTAAAATCTTAAGTTTAGGGCACAATTGACTCAGGAAAATTTGGGAAAACCCCATAAAAGAATTCTTGTTTTTTACCGAGGTGCAATAAACCTAAACCTTTTAATGCAATAAACTCTTTGATCCATAGTCTGTAACATGACCAAAGTACAGGGAAAAAATGAAGATGACCACCAAGGACAAACAAGTGTATGGTACCTTTTCCTTCTCTCGAACGAAAATGTGGTAAAGACAGATGGCATGAGAATGAGAGGAAGAATTAAAAGGCAATTTTCTCCAGCCCTTTATGATGTTCCTGACCTTGTACAGGGATTCTCCTGACAAGTTATTTACCTCTCTTAAAGCGATATCACCCTCAAAGATTGTATAGCGCCGCGCAGCGGCGCAAGATGGGCAACTGTCCACTGAATCGCGTTATCGCTATGGGCGCCATTTTGGTGTGATATAATGCGAGCAAAGTACAAAAAATGTACATGCACACTCAACGTTTCTGGGCGGCGCTTTGTGTACGCATGGATCGCGAAGCACAATGTCGCCGACGTGTGCAGCCATCAACCATTTTTTTCTCCTCAAGGTCTATGCATCAACAGCAAAAGCAGGTTCAAGAAAAGCTCGGAACTATCATTCTTACTTTTCCCAAGAACAAAGAAAGGCGAGTAGTAATTTATAAATAGTGCAAAGTGAAATTTACCAAAAAATAGGCATACAATAGCGGCAAAAATCAACACATAGCTTAAGCTAGATTGAGCCCCTAAATTAATGACGTTCATATTTGTAATGAGCCTCTGACCCGTGAATGCATGTACATTGTAATTGGCTTAACATTCTACTAAACACCTAGGCATATGCTACAAATATGTACTAGCATATTGGACAAAGGATGAAAACCACACCACCTTCTTTAGGAGTTTTATCAAGCTTTCTTTATTTCACAGACAGTATGGAAAGTTAAAACAACAAAAGCGCAGAAACTGCACAGTTTGTAAATTCAGACTTGTTGCCCTATTAAAGAAAAAAAATTGAATTTTACTATGTGCTTACATTTTATTTGATGTTTCCATTTCATTACAGATGCCAATTCTAGGTTCAAAACACCCACAGGAAGGATCTTCTGAAGAGAACCCAATGAACCCAATGAAATAATTGGAACACAGGCAGAAGTTTGTGTAGAGACACAAACTTCTGCCTGTGTTCCAATTATTTTGAACCCAGTCAGTTTACCAATCACCTCCAAACAAGCTGAAATGGAATGAAGTGCCCACAATGTTTGAGGTCCCAAACCCACCAAAACTTGTGACATCTCAACGATAAAAACGAGGATGCTAAAGGAAGCTTGAGCCAGATGGGACAAAAAAAAGTCCACTAAAACTGACCAAAAGAAAATAAATATATACAGATATACGTACATGTATCATATATATGTGTATATACAATTAAAGTTGCCAATCAATCTTTGTCTATACATTCAAGTTCATCAGTGACTTTGTCATCACACGGACCCATTACACGTGCCCATTGGCTGAACGCTGAATTTGAGTTAAAGTTAATGGGCAATATGGGCGTTCAGCCAATGGATGCTTGATTTATACATGTATTCTTTGACTAAAAAATGTTGCACACGATCATAGTAGATGGTTCCGTAACTGAAAATGGCATTCATCATAGGAAAAGCTCTACAGCTCTAAAGGAAAGAGTCAAAACATCTCGACTGAGAGAGAAAGTGCAACGGCTTCAGAACATCCTCTCACATATTACCACTCCAGCTGAAATCGTGAGCAACCTCATCAAAGGTGCTACTCAGTACATGGATGAACCAGCTGGTTTTCTTTGCTTCTCAAATTGACAAATACGCAACTCATCAAGGTGTATAAATGTTAGAGGTAGAAGATGGTGTTATGCAAAGTAATTGTCTTGTCTCTTGATTCCGAATTTGATTGTATTCGACCAAGGATGCAGTAATGTGAAACTGTACAATACACTTGCAATTTCAGTGGAAAACCATACTTCTTGCTTGAGGAAAAAAAGGTCTTTTGCATGTTTGATCAGCCTCATTTCCTGAACTAAGAATACAAGATCAAACTTACATAACTACCTTCTTAGATACTCGTATAAGGATTCAGAGGAGG